CCAGGCCTCCCACATGCTAGGCCCCTCCTCTGTCATTGAGCCATATGCCCTCCCCACCACCCCATGGTCTCTCTGACAGTCTCTATCATGCTGTGCTTGATAGCTTAAAGTAGCTTCCTTCATTCATTAATGATCTAAGTATATGGATGCATTCCTTGCAGTAAACTTTTTTTTTCTCTCTTCTCTTTTCAATAGGTGGCCCTCTTAAAACTGTCTTCTCCCAAGCAACCTGCTCAGTCCAACTTAGCACATGCTGGAGTAGTGCAGCAGGGAGCACCTGCTCATTTGACTACCTGTTCCAACCCCTCATCTCCCAAAAAACTTAAAGAACTAATTTCTTTTCCAGATCTCAGTGTACCTCATTAAAGTGTTATATTTCTGAGCCCAACATAAAGCTGGGTCTAAGTATTTGTCATAGGTCATGTGATACAGGCAAGGAATTTACTAGAAGTTTCTGAGAGATGTTCCTTTTCAGAGACACTGCTCTCTCTTTCTTTTTCCAGTCTGGAACACAGATCTGATGACTGGATTATCTGAGAACAGCCAAGAGAATCCAGCCTTCCTGGTCTTGATATCCTTAAGTTGTTGAATTAATATTAGCAACCAGACTGGTTCACTGTAGCCCTTGCTATGCATTTCTCAACACATTTTTTAAGCCTGGTTTAAGTTCAACCTTACTTAGGTTTCAACAGTTAAAGCTGCATGTAATCCTCACACAAGTAAATTCCTTATATTCTCTTTATCCTTTATAGTCCAGCTCAAGTTTCACCTCCCAAAGGACCAACTATGTCAGTCGTCACAAGTCTACCATCTGTTAAAATATTCCTCAACTTTTTATTCTGTATCAAAGTCAAAGAGAACACACTGGTACTTGATTGACCTCTCTTTAAACAGTGAGTCCCCACGCTGTTTCTGACGTGGGACTCACTTCAGTCATCACTACTAGCCTAGGCTTAGAGGGTCTCTTAGCTTCAGTGGGGGCGGGATGAACTACAAAACGATCCAGCAAACTGAGTGAACTTGTACTCAAATCTTGATCTTGATTCTGGCTCCTTTAGGTGACAAAACAGCATCTTCACAGAGATGTTGCTGACCACAGGGGCATTCTGTCACCTCACCTTCGAGCTATACACAATCCATGCCTGCGCTTGGAGGGAAAAATAAGTTTTTCTTCAGATGGCTAGTGTGATTTTTCCCTGTGTTCTCGGTAGAAATTTTCAATGTGCAAATAGTACTATGCAGAAATAAAAAATTAGAGAGAACTACACTTATACATTATTTTAACAGTTCCAATCACTTAACTTTCTGGATACAACTATAAAATACAATCAATTATAGTGATTACAATAGAAATGCAGGGTTGTGAACCCCCACACACACACAGAGAACCTGCAGGCTTCTAAGAACAAATAAATCTGCAAGAGTAAAAGGCACAACTCAGCCTACTAGACAGCCAGCCTGCTTGAGCAGCACCAACAGGACAATTTCCAAGTAATTTGCTTTGGGAGAGCCACTTCCACACAACTTTAATCACCAAGAGTAGTGTATCAATATCAACATTCTCCTATTATAAAAAGACAGCAACACATGCATCTGGCCAGGTTGTTTCCTAACCTTCTGCTAAGCTGTCTCCAACTAAAACTGTGCCTCATGAGCTGGCACAGGCGTCTGCATACCACTGCTGGTCAGCTCTAATTTCCATTGCATGGAGGCCACTTTGAGACTAAATATAATTACCCTTTAACCTGGTGTCATCTGCTGCTCTGCTCAGGCAGAATTGGAGCAGCAGTGTTGTCTGTAGTGTGTGCACTAGAAGTTCCATGGCACAGAGGGGGAAGACAACAGTGAGAACAAGTCAGTGACAGCGCCGGCCAATGATGAAATGCGTCTGCTGACATCGGCTTCATTTCTCCAGGGAAGACATTTGTAAAGTAGCTCCCATGAAGAACCTCCTCCACATTCTGTTTTGTTGAATTACTTATCAACAGTGAAGGAAACGCATAGTTTCCTTTACACGAAAATAACTTAAAAGCAGAAGCTGTTGACCTACACACTAAAAGCAGGCTTCCACAATCCCTTTCCTTAAAAGTAACAGTTTTTCATTTCCCATCTATTTCTCTGCCAACTATGCAATCAGTTCTTAAAACTTTTTGAATAGGTATGTAAAATTTATTTTATTTCCATTTGTTTTCAACATGAAGACTTCCTCAGACAAAGAAAGTCTTTCTCGCAGCTTTACTAACTTGCTTTTAACTCTCTTAAGAGACAAAGAACTTTAAATAACACAGAGAATACAAAATGAAGAACAAAAAATGATACTGTCAGTAATTTCTTTAAATTTTTATCACATTTATTTGTGTGTGTATGTATGTATGTTATATATGTACAGGAGTGTACATCATGGCACACATATGGAGGTCAGAGGAAACCCTGCAGGAATTGCCATCCTTCATGAGGGGTCAGTTTGTCAGACTTGGCAGCAAGTACCTTCAATCACTGAATTATCTCATTAGCCTGTGACCAGTAATTTCAAAATGATATAAATTTTATGTTCTTATCTTACTTTCTTTCTGTTTCTGAGTCTTTTCTCCTCAGCTTGAGCTGACAAAATTCATAATAATCTAAGATCAAACACTGACCTGGAAATACATTTACGTTGCTCAAGTTGGAAAAATCAAATTCCTCTTCCCAAATATCACCATCTATAGATGGTGTCCTATAGAAACCAGTTACTCTATAAACTTTCTGTCTCTACTTTTTATCGTTTACCAACCTCTCCAAAATTCTACAGGCACCATCAAGTCAGTGAGGATCAACCACAACTCACTTTTATTTCGAAGGCTCATGAAACTTCTGAACATACAAATGACAGGACACACATCTTACTAAACGTTCTGAGAAAGCCGAAGGCAGAGAAGTTCATTCACTTCCCTAACAACGCATATGTGGTAAGCGGTAAAGCAGATCTGGAACCCAAGGGAAGAAACTTTTCTGTCAGTGCCTCAAGAGGAGGGGCAGAGGTCGTAGTGCAGCCGCAGCTGGCTGATGGTAGCAGACATGTGACACAGTCCTTGCATGATTTATTTTTTCAGTGTAGCTCTTGATGAGTTTATAAGCTGGGGGTTGGAGAAGGGATACAGTGGAGATTTGAGAAATGAAGATCAGAAGATTCTTGATTCGGAGGGAAGAAAGCAAACTCATTAGCAAGGACTGGCAGTACTGAATGTCCCACTGAAATCAATGGTCATAAACTTGAAGTCAACCAACTTGACTGGATTGGTTGGTATTTTCTAGCCAGTTTCAAATGTCTGACAGAAAAGTTAGATTTAACTAGGGTGGGATTTGGGGACTGGTAGGAGATATGAAGAATGAAAGGAAGCTAAGAATCAAGGGGTATTTGCAAGAGTGGTGACAGTAAGGAACCATGGGATCTAGGTGAGAAAAAAGTATGACCAGTAAGGATGAGATAGGTTTAGTAAAGGTGTCAGGGTCAAAGGATTGCATCTGTGAGGGAGAAGAACAGCTGGAGTGTGGTCACTGAAGGATTAAATAATGGTCAGAGAGTGGGGCGTTTGGGGAGGAGGTTTCAAAGTAAGTGCTTTTAAGTGACAACAAGATCTGACTACAGTCATGTGGATGTGGGAGCTGAGGTAGCGTAAAAGGGACACCTGCATCAAGAAAGGCTAGATGAACTGGCTTTGCAGCCGGAGGTTTTGCAGCCGGAGGCTGTGCTGAGAGATGAAAGACGCGGTGCTGCAAAGTCACTGGTGAAGATGGTGCAGGTGACCGCAACAAAGAAAGTTTGAGGAATTAAGTCTGCTATTGCACCTCGAAGATGTGGAGGGGCTGCAGAAAGGAGAATGAGGATGCAACCCAGCAACGTGCAAGCTCTGAGGCTGGTAAATAAATTCAAGCTCTAACCTGAAAAATATCCAAAATCCTCATTCCAAAAGGGTGAGGGCACGGTTCAGAGAAGAGACACAGCACAGCACTGGACTTATCATATGGCACGTTCTCTGTGAGCAGTTCTTAAATTTTAATCTTAAGTTTCCTATGTTTACGATATCGTAAAAGGAAAAATACTCAGAATTGGTTTTAAAAAAAAATCTGGAACAGATTAAAAAGGAAATGATCTTTTAACAATTGTATTTTCCAAATTCAGAAAAGATTTATCTTTACAAATTAGTTTCTAGGACAAGATAAACAGAGTCAAACAGCATCTTATTGTTTCTGGCCTGATATAAACGGACACCTCACTGCTATAAAACAAAGCCAGGCACTGCATTGCATAAGAGCCCAATCTCAAGAACAAAATCAAGTTGACTCTGCCTGGGTGATGTTTAGAAAACAACTTCTATGAAAATGAACTGACCAAAGTTATAGTTCAGGCAGAGAAACCCAAGTGGCTATGGATAAGAAATAGCAAGATTTCACAAATACAGTCTTTCACAAATAACCTTCTAACAATACATTTGGAATAAACTGTCCTTCATCGAGTCATAGTAGGACTATCTCATGAGTATCTTTAGAGGAAAGCATGTGGAGGCAAGACAATGTGGACCAGTAGGTTCGCTCCCGCCCACCGTCTGCTGTTCTCTGTGCTGAGTGACAGCCCAGCAGTTTGATTTTCCATAGAAACTTTTCTTTCTACCCACAAAGGCGTCTAGTTCAGTGGTTTCACTGTGCCCTCACTTGCAGCTACCTCCTTTAACTCCAGCTCCAGGGGGTCCAATACCCTCTTCTGGCCTCTGCAGGCACCTGTACATAGCTCTTTTAATGCATATCATTTTTAAAAAATAATAAAAACAAATCTTAAGAAATATAGTAGCTTAAAAATAAAAATAATAAAATTAAAATTAATATTTTATAAAAACAGTGGGGAAACATTTCCAAAATAATAGTATAAATTTGAGTGACTATCTTGAATGTCCTTTCATTGACCCAGAGAATATCGGTTAAGTAAAGGACTCTTGTGTTGACAAACCAAAATTTCAACTTACCATTTATGTTTATTGCTGGTAATACAATTGACATTTTTGGCCTTGTGGTCTTGTTATGAGTAGTAGCTGGTAATAGCAGATGATCCTAAAATGAGAAAAAGGACAGTCTTATACATCACGACTGGCTTAGTCCAGGGACATTCCACACTTAACAATTTTCAGGAAGCTAACATTTCACTCAGGTCATGAAATATTAGTTTTTTTTTAATATGAACTTGACTTAGAAATAACTACAAATGATCTTAATGCAATACACATTTACTGGGGTTATCATTGCTAGACACACCACAATTTTTTAATACTTCTGGATTTTTATAACAATGTATGATTAGGAAACCATAAAGAGTACTGGCCAAGTTATTAAGACAACAGGTCTTAATTCTAGTCATGCCACTAAGTAACTGTAGGGCCTGAACAAGACTGTACCCTTTGTCCAGATCTCAGTTTCCAGCCCCACAGAATGATGGGGGCTGAGGTTGATAATGTTACAAGATGCCAAAGTAGCATCCAACTAAACAGTCATTTTCAAACTATATAGAAAAGAAACCTTTTTTTCTTCCAAAATTCTCCCAAATTATCAATATGTAAAAGGCTAAAGCAGGTCCAGGGCCTAGGGCCTGACTGCCGTGTGTATTCCTTTGAGGTAAAATGCCAGACTGTTAGATATTTAGCTGTAACAAAGCACACTAAGATGTGTGTGGGCTGTGGAAGTAGTTCAAATTGCTGTACAAAATAAGGACCCAAGTTTGATACCACAATACACATAAGCCAGGTATGGAGATGCTGTAATCCCAGCACCAGGGAAACGGAAATAGAAGGTGTCCTGGACTCACTGGCTCACCAGCTTAGCCTAACTGGAGCGCTCCAAGTCAAGGAGAGACCTTGCCTCAGGAAGACGTCCTGAGACCAGCCTCTGACCTGTGCACACGTGCCCATGCCACACAACTACTCAATGTAAGAATAAGCCACAGGAGGGTTGGCTGTGGAAGAGTGGGGATGTTGAGCAGTTTGGAAAATGTAGGTACATCTGTAGACATCCTAAAGCTGGTCATAAAGGACTTGTGACTTTGATAGTAACTACTATTGCTAACAACTCCTTCCTAGCAAACACATAAAATTACCACAGGGATAAAGGCTCTGACAGTATTTCTACGAAGGAAGCACATTAGACTGAGCTAAGACAGAATCTAAGTTGAACCTTTCTGTCATGGCTTTTGGTTGTTGTCCCTACAGTCACTGTTCTATCATTTACTCAACAAACTTGCTAAAATGCCGCTGTGATATGGCTGATAAATGAAGTTATCAGCAAAGGAAAGAAAAAATCCTAGACCATGAGTGACAAGTTAAAATAGGTGAACATGAGCAGAACTGTGTGGAGGCCTTTCCACTAACTACTGTGGGAGTCAAAGCCACAGTTCCATGAGAACACACTTTTCAAGCGTGGAGGGAAGAGCGAGGGGCTGACAGAATCCCAGCACTGGGAAAAGGAGGCTTGTTTTTCTTTCCCCGTTTTGTTTTTTTAACTGCATTGTTAGACGCAAAGATCACACATTTCTGAGAGGAAGATAATAAATTATAACCTAGAAGAAACACAATTTGCTCATCTTCCTGTTATGGAAATTATAAATAACTTAATCTCTATAATTAAAATACTGTTTCACAGGCTCTAAATTGAATAACAAAACAACCCTTAAAGTGCAAGCCCCAAATTAAGGTTACTGTAAAAATAAACACGCAGATCACGTTGGTGAAATCGGTTTAAAATCAGGCTCAGACTTAATCGTGAGTTTCCTGCAAAGATCTGGATGTTTTTAAACATGGTTTTTTAAAAAATGTTACGTCTCCTACATTTTATAGCAGGAAATTAAAAGTTGTGCTATTGTTTATAAAAAAGAATCACATATCATATTTACACACATATTAAAGTTAACCAGCCTTTTTTCTCATCATTTAAGGCACACAAACTGTGGGACAGCCATTCTTTGTTTAAGGGTCTCACTATGCAAATAAGTTGGCCTAGAACTTGGTATGCCATGTAGCTGGCTCTAACTCCTCCTGCCTCTGCCTCCTGAGAGCTGGGCTTACAAGTGTGTGCCTGGACTTACTTTTTTTTTCCCCACTGCTAGGGGTAGAATCTAGGGCATCTCACATGGTACAGCCTATAACTTAAAGTGCTAATTTTACTAATCAAAACTTCAGGGAGACAAAGCTAGTATATGACTAATTGAAACAGTATTTTATATAAAATATATTACACATATGTAATTAGGATAGCACAGTTGCTTTGTTAAACAGTTTTCTTTACTTTCTTTGGAAAAAAAAAGGTCCATAAACCAACAATGAACTTCGAATAAGTTCCCTGTGTTTATCTCACTCTGATTTAGTTCATTAATCCTATTAGTTATAACAGTAGAAACTAGAAACTTGTCAGTCAACAAGTAATTATGAACTACCACTCACTACAGAAAACATTTACTGAGCACACCCATCTGCCATATATTAAGCACTGTACTATGGAGGATGTTTTAAAGAACAGAAATCCAGATTTTTATTTTCTTGGGGAAAACAATGTGTACTGAGAGAGAAATGTTGATTTTCCCCCCTAATATATGGTCTCCTGCTGCTATAATTTTGAAACAGAAATAGAACTCATGACAATTAATTGGGCAGACGGCATACGCCTCAGACTCCTCGGCAGCCAGGTGAGGCGGTGCAGTCTGAATGAAAGAACTTCTTTGAGATGGCAGTGATGGAAGGCTCACGTTCTCCCTCCTGCCAGCTAGAAAGCAGACATGGCAGCTACAACTGGAGTAGCCATACTGGGCTATGAAATGGAGGCTGCAACCAGAGGATTACGAAGCACTAAAACAGGAGATAAGGAGCCTGGTAACCAGGGAGTCATAACAAGATCTTTAAAAGTTATATTATATGAGATGGAGATAAAGGTTTGATTTTCCTAGGTCCCTACTACATTGGATTTTCTGTCAAAGTCTAAAGCTTCGTCTAATAACTTGTTACAGTATCTGTTTGTGAATCAATACTGAAGATATCTGATCACCACAAATTCAATAAAGGTTAACAATCAGGGACAGCCTAGGGAGATGGCTCAGAGGTTAAGAACACTGGCTGTTCTTTCAAAGGTCCTGAGTTCAATTCTCAGCAACTACCTGGGCTCATAAACATCTGTAGTGAGGTCTGGTGCCCTCATTTGGTATACAGGCATACATGCAGGCAGAATGCTGTGTAAATAATAAATAAATAAACCTTTAAAAACAACAAACAATCAGGGACAGCTTCATTAACTTTCTTTTAGGACAGGTATCCCTGAGTGTCCCTGGCTACCCTGGAACTTGCTATGTAGACCAGAATGGCTTTGAACTAAGAGACTCACCTGCCTCTGTCTCTCGAGTGTCAAGATTAAAGGCGTGCACCACTATGTCTTTTGTTAATTTTTAACAGCACAGAAAAGCCACAGTTATTGGACCCTCCTCTAGTTTCATCTAAATCCATTTTAATAAACTAATGGAGAAAATTCAGTCCTGGAAAAGTAGAGGTATGGTTTGATGAATTTGAACAAAATTGTCTCCTTCATATTATGTCAGTTAAAATAATCAACTACAACAAAAGTTAAGCTATTTAGAAGTAAAAAGGATATTGCTCTAGAAATAAACATATCTCAACATTGCAATTCAAAACTTTGTCATTTATTTTAAGACATTTTCAAACAGGCTTTGAAATCCTGTACAGGGCCAATGAGGTACAGGCCACCTTCGGGGATAGAACTGTGTGGATAAAAACCTTAGCTGATACCTTGTTGTTCATACTCCGGCAGGTTATCAGAGAAGCCTCAAAGCGCTGCACTGTGAGAACGAAGCATCAGTGTTCCAACGTTGGCCAGTAGACGAGATCTAAGATGCCGCTCTACACAGCCCTCCAACTCCCTCTCCCGTGTAACATGTTAGAGGTAAGTGTGAGAATACAGCACAACGCTAAATGGCATTTCATGTTTTTAAGGAAGCGAAAGCATCAGAGACAGAATGAGCAAAAACATAAGGCATGTTCTTAGCTGGAATTCACGACAGTAACTCAAAATAAAATTAAGGCCCAACTGAAAGTTAATGAATGTTGGTTCTACATATCCACAGAATACAAACTGACTTACTAAACCAATTGCTAATTTTTTCTAATTGCTGATTTGTTAGTGTGACTGCATATTTGATATTACATAAACTGATAAGCTAAGTGAAAATAGCTTGCTAAAAGTAACTAGGGTAACCTTACTTTTCTCATTGTAAAACTAAAAAAGACACAAAAACAGCAAGTTTGTACTATACTGTTTAATGATCTGTAAGTTCTTATAATTGAAAGTAATTATAAACGATAACTGGAAATTATGGCAAATGGATTGTGAGTACGGTTTATGGAAGAAAGAAAATGGAACTCTGAACACTAGATTTAGACTTAAAACCAAAGTGCTGATTTTTACATCAAAAGCTGATGAGTGAAATGCTTATTTATAACTGAATGAAGTATACAGTTAAAACAAAAATCTCTACTCTAGCCAGTTCAAGTCGCACTAGATGGAACAGCTTCTCTTATTATGAGAAGACTCTGGCTCAGTGTAGGCATCTATCTTTGACAGGAAGGAATGCCAACCACAGCCAGTCCCTAAGAGTGAGGAGCTGCAGTTTGTAAAGGCTGCGAGGATGGCAGCAACAGCTCTCACTGCATCGGGATGGCCCACTGTGAGTCAGAAAAATTCATTTATCAGGCCAACTCTAACAACAACGGACTCTTGATTTGGCCTATAGCCACTGAATTCCTGAGATGGCTTGTTTTTCAAATATAGAAACCATTAAGACCAGATTAAAAACTAAAGTAACATCCATCCTTATTCTGCAAACAGCTTTGAGTTTTCTCTGACTCCCTACCACAGGAAGCACTAATTTTCTGCTGTCACTGCACACCTCTTCCTCTTATCACCTATCTTTCAAACTGCCAAACTTCAAAAACAGAAGGCCCAGGGCAGCAGGCACAAGTGGGCCTGTCAAGGTTACTGCTTAACCCCACAACACTTGGAACTGA